CCCCCTTCCTCCTCTCTTCTTCTTCCTCCTCCTCCTCCTCTTCTTCCCCTCTTCTTCTTCTTCCTTTTCCTTCTTCTCCTTCTCCATCGTCTTCTTCTCCCTCCTCCTCTTCCTCCTCTCCTTCCTCCTCCTCCTCCTCCTCCTCTTCCTCCTCCTCCTCCTCCTCCTCTTCCTCCCTCCTCCTCTCCTCTTCCTCCCCTCCTCTCCTCCTCCTCTTTACTCTGTTATTGTTTTATTATGATATTGCTTGTGTTTTATTTTCATATTGGTTTTGGCTCTATATTTTATCATATTGTTCTTGTATTTTCTTCGTTTATTTATTTATTATTTTTCTTTCCTTCATTTTTTTTTACAAATAATATAAGCGAGAATTGAAATGTAACACAGAAAACGGTTACAATTGAGAAAAAGAGATTATTTGAGCGGGGACTAAAACATACAAACCCGTCGATGTCTTTCCCGTACCCTAGTGCCCGAGGACGGAACTCGGAGGAGGCCAAAAATGAATTAAATATGACATATTTTCATCAGAGCCATTCCAAAAAAATACTAGACGAATTAGATTTAAAAGAAGGAGGAAAGAAAAAGTACCATGCCAACAGGAAATTCAATGGAGTTACTTTTAGTTTCATCGCCTGAGGGAGGTGGTCGCGGTTCCTCCATTCGCTGTGTAATGGATGAGGCTCAGAAAAGGGGCAGAGGGAGAGGGAGAAGGAGAAGGAAAGAGGGAGAAGGAGAGGGAGAGAGGGAGAAGGAGAAGGAGAAGGAGAGGGAAAGAGGGAGAGGAGAAGGAGAAGGATGAGGGAAAGAGGGGAGAGAAAGTAGAAGGAGAAGGAGAAGGAGAGGGAAGAGGGAAAGAGGGAGAGAAGTAGAAGTAGAAGGAGAGGGAGAGGGAGAGGAGACGAAGAGAGAGGATAGGGAGAGAAGAAGAGGAAGGAGAAGGAGAAGGAGAGGGAAAGGGAGAGAGGAGAAGAAGAGGAAAAGAGAAAGAGGGAGAGGTAGAAGGAGAAGGAAAGGGAAAGAGGGAGAGAGGGAGAGGGAGTGGAAGAAGAAGAGAGGGAGGAGAGAGGGAGGAGGAGAGAGAGAGGAGGGAGAGAGAGACGGAGGAGGAGAGAGAGAGAGAGGAGAGAATGAAAAAAGGAGAGAGGGGGAGAGGGCTAGACAGACACAAAACACAGAGACGAACACAAAACACCGACCCTCACCAGGCAGATTATGAAAGGGGAAGAGAAAGAAAAAAAATAAATGGAAGGAATTGGCGAGGATGAGGCAGGGGAAAGGGAGAGAGAAAGAAAAAAACGAAAAATAAATATAAGTGCAAATAATGAAGCCAGTAATAGAGCCACAGAGATTTGCCCCTGAAATATAAATATCACTTTTCTTTATCTTAATTTCTTTTTATTTTTGATTATTTGTTTTTTTATTTATTCATCTTTTATTTATTTATCTATTTTTATTCATTTATTTATCTTTTATTTATTTATTTATCCATTTTTATTCATTTATTTATCTATTTATCTTTTATCTATTCATTCTATTCATCTTTTATTATTATTATTATTATTATTATATTATTATTATTATAATTATTTTATTATTATTATTATTATTATTATTATTATTATTATTATTGTTATTATTTATTACTTTATTTTTTCTTTCTTTCTTCATAACACTGAACCATTTTCTCGGCGTTTTTATTTTCAGTTGAAGTCCTCAGTCCCTGACTATAAAGAAACCGCGGTCGAGCCTGAAGACATTGAGGATCGCAATCAGGTATAAATAAAAATAAAAAAAAAATGACTAGAAGGAGAAATAAAGAAGAGAAGAGAATGATATTGGATAAGGAGGAAATACTGGGAGAAGAGGGTGATGAAGGAAAGGAAAAAAAGAGATGATAAAGGAAGTTCGGGGGAGGAGGGAGGAAGAGAATGACGAAGGAAAGGAAGAGGGGGAGAAGAGAATGATAGATGGAAAAGAGAAAAAGGGGAGAAGAGAATAATAAAGGAAAAGAAAAAAGGGTAGGGGAAGTAAAAGGTAAAAGAAAGGAAGAGGAGAGAAGAGAACAATTAAGGAAAACAGGAAATCAGAAAGAAAGGAAGAGATGAGAATAAGGATGAAGAGGAACGAGGTACAGAACGGGGAAGAGGCGAGCATGATAGAGGGGGAGAAGAAGAAAGGAAGAGACGAGAGTAATAATAGGGTGGAAGGAGAGAAAGATACTGCGAGGGAAAGGGGAGAACATGGTGATGGAGTGGATAAAGGAAGTGAGAAGTGAAAGGAGGGTGAGGGAGAGAGAGAGAGAGGAGAGGGAGAGAGAGAGAGAGGAAGGAGAGAGATAGAGAGAGAGAGGGAGGGAGGGAAAGAGGAGAGAGAGAGGAAGGAGATAGAGAGAGAGAGGGAGAGGGAGGAAGGGAGAGAGACAGAGAGAGGAAGTAGTGAGGAGGGAGAGAGAGATAGGGAGGAAAGAAAGGAGATAAAGAGAGGAAGGGGAGAGAGAGAAAAAAGAAAGAAATGGGAAATGAGAGAGAGAGAGAGAAGACGGAAGAGAGAAAAGAAGGAAAATGATGATGACGAGAGGAAAGAGAGAAAGAATCAACAATGACGGTAAGAAGGGGGAGGGCTAAGAAGGAGGAAAAAAGATGGATAACGAAAGAGAGAGATAGGGAAGGAGGGCGACTGAAAGAGAAAGAGGAAGTGAAGAAGACGATAAAGGAATGAGAATGAGTGAGAAAAAAAGAGGAGATGAAGTACGGGAATAAAAAAAGAAGAGAACAGAGGAAATGGAGAGAATAAAGATAAAGAGAAACAAAGAAGATTTAGGATTAAAACAGAAGTAGGAGAAAGGAGGGGGGAGAGGAGGAACCCTTCGCTTCTCCTTCCCACCACCTCCTTCCTTCCCCTCCTCTCCATTTCCTCCTTTCTTCCCTCATTCTCCTTTCATTTTTCCTTCCTTTCTTTCTTCCTTTCCTCCTTCTTTCTTCCTTCCTTCCCCTCCTCTTTCCTTCCATTGCTTCCACTCATTTCCTCACCTCTCTCCTCCTTCCTATCCTCTCCTCCTACTTTATCCTATCCCTTCCTACCAAATCTTCTCCCTCCTCGTCCCTCTCTCTATCTCCTTCCTTTCTCCTACACTCCTTCCTCCTACTTTCCTCTTCTCTCTCCATCTCCCTCTTCCGCCTTTCTTCCTTCCCTTTTCCTATTCTCTCTTCACCCTCCCCCTCCTTCCTCTCCCTCTTCCTATCTCTCCTGTCCCTCTCCCTCTCTCTCTCCATCTCCTCTCCTTTTCCTCTCTTCTCCCTCTTTCTGTCCTTTCCTTCCCCCTCTCCTCTCCTCTCTTCTCTCACTCCTTTCCTCTCTCCTCTTATCTCCCTCTCTTTCCTTCTCCCTCTCCCTTCCTCCACTCCCTCCCTCCTCTTCAATCTCTCCTCTCTCCTCTCTCCTCTCTCCTCTCTCTCTCTTCTTTTCTTTCTTCCCTCCCTCCCTCCCTCCCTCCCCACTCCCTCCCTCCCTCCCTCCCTCCCTCCCTCCCCCCCCCTTCTCCCCCTCCCCCTCCCCTTCCCTCCCTCCCTCCCTCCCTCCCTCCCTCCCTCCCTCCCTCCCTCCCTCCCTCCCTCCTCCCTTCCCCTCCCTTCCCTCCCTTCCCTCCCTCTTTCCCCTCCCTTCCCTCCCTCTCTTCCCCTCTGAGGCGTGGCAGAAGACCCTCCCTTTTTGAGTCCGTCTGAAGGAATGCAATAACGCCAGCATTGCCCTCCCTGGCTCCCTGGCGCTGCTCTCTTCCTCCTTTGTCACGAGTGCGGGTCTCGCCTCTTTGGTGTGCGTCGGTGTGTCTGTAGGCTTGTATGTAATTTATTTTTATTTTTTATTTTATTTTTTGTCTTTCTTTTTTCGTTTTTCTTTCTTTTTTATTTTATTTTTTTTCGCTTCTCTTTCATTTTTTCTCTTGTCTTTCTTTCTATGTTCTTTCTCTCTCTCTCTCTCTTCTTTCTTGTCTCTCGGTCTCTCTGTCCTCTCTCTGTCTCTGTCTCTGTCTCTGTCTCTGTCTGTCTCGTGTCTCTGTCTCTGCTCTCTGTCTCTCTCTCATTCTGTCTCTCTGTCTCTCTGTCTCTGTCTCTGTCTCTGTCCTCTGTCTCTGTCTCTCTCTCTCTCTCTGTCTGTCTTGTCTGTCTGTCTCTCTCTCTCTTCTCTCTCTCTCTCTCTCTCTCTCTCTCTCTCTCTCTCTCTCTCTCTCTCTCTCTCTCTCTCTCTCTCTCTCTCTCTCTCTCTCTCTCTCTCTCTGTGTCTCTGTCTCTGTCTCTGTCTCTGTCTCTGTCTCTCTCTGTCTCTGTCTCTGTCTGTCTCTGTCTCTCTCTCTCTCTCTCTCTGTCTCTGTCTCTCTCTCTCTCTCTCTCTCTCTCTCTCTCTCTCTCTCTCTCTCTCTCTCTCTCTCTCTCTCTCTCTCTCTCTCTCTCTCTCTCTGTCATTATCAATGTGCATCATTATTTTATACATTGCTGAGGGAGACAGAGAGAGTGAGAGAGAGAGAGAGAAATATTAATATATATATATATATATATATATATATATATATATATATATATATATATATATTATATATATATAATAAAGAGCGAATAGAGAGGGGTGGGTGGGGAGAGAAAGAGAGAGATTTCTTTTTTTTACTTCCTCTTTTACAACTATTATTCATTTTCGCAGAATCACGTGTCTTACGTCACCTCCGTCCGAACCTTCACACCAGCCGTGACCACGACTTCGACCACCACCACAACCACCACGCCCGCACCTTCTTCCGCCACGCCCCTCCGCGCCCACCACCGCCACCGCTCCCATCATCGGCCGGTAGTCGGACCACGCCCCTCGGCCACGCCCTGGAGGTCGTCCTACGACACGGCGACGGAGGAGGAAGTCTCCCGCAACGCTTTCGTCAACGCCCTCCCCCCTTCGAAGACGCGAGACATGGCCGCCAACAGGAGGGTGAGACTCGCTGTCCCAGGCTCTTTGACGGCGACTAAGAGCTCTTGTTTATCAGGATTTATGTATTTCAATCGTTTTAGAGAGTAAATGCATCAGAATTTATATATTTTAATCGTTTTAGAGAGCAAATGGATCAGGATTTATATATGTTAATCATTTTTAAGAGTAAATGGATCAGATTTATATATTTTAATCGTTTTAAGAATAATGGATTAGGATTTATATTTTAACTGTTTTAAGAGTAAATAGATCAGGATTTATATATTTAATAATTTAGAGCATTTAATATCATTTTAGAGAGTAAATGGATCAGGATATATATATTTTAGTCATTTTAGAGAGTAACTAGATCAGGATTTTTATATTTTAATATTTTTTAGAGAGTAAAAGATCGGGATTTATATTCTTTAATCCTTTTTAGAGAGTGAATGGATCAGGATTCTTGTTTATTTTAACCTATTTCTATACTCGTTATTTTTGCCGATGAGGGTTTATTTATTCATTTAATTTAACCTATCATTCACTCGTTATTTCCGTGCATTAAGAGTGGCCTCTCCCCCTCAGGTCTCCCTCATGAGCAACTCGGTGGAGAGCGAGGACGAGGACGACGACGACGACGAAGGGGACGAGGAAGACCAGGAGAACGAGGAGCAGCAGGAGCAGGAGGAGATGGACCTGGACCTGGAGGAGCGGCAGGACGAGGAGGGCGCCGCCGTGCAGGACAAGGCGACGAGGACGCAGACGAAGTACGCGGGGAGAGCCAGGTCCTCGACGCCCCACAAGCGGATCCCCACCGGCGATGCCATGGCGGTCATCGACGACATCGTCAAGAACTACCAGAAGGAGCAGAGGAGGAAGATGAGGAAGCAGAGGAGGGAGCAGCGAAGGAGGCGCAGAATGGAGCTCAGGAAGATACGTAAGTGGAGGGGGTAGGGAGGGGACGGGGCGAGAAGGGAGGGAGAAAGGGGAGGGGAGGAGGGAGAGGAGAGATGGGATGGGAGGATGGTAGGAGAGGAGAGGGAGAGAACGGGAGAGGAGAGGGAGAGAACGGGAGGATGGGGAGAGAAGAGAGATAAGGGATGGGGAGGAGGAGAGAAGAGGAGATAGGGGATGGGAGGATGTAGGGGAGGAGGGAGATAGGGAGATGGAAGAGGGAGATAAGGGGATGGGAGGAGGTAGTAGGAGAGGAGAGGGAGAAACGGGAGAGGAGAGGGAGAGAAGAGGATGGAGATAGTAGAGAGGAGAGAACGGGAGAGGAGAGGGAGAGAACAGAGGAGAGGAAGAGGGAGAAGGAAGAGGAGAGGACGAGTAGAGGAGAGGAGAGAACGGTAGAGGAGAGGAGAGGGAGAGAACGGGAGAGGAGAGGGAGAGAAGGTTTAGTGAGAAGGTGAAGGACGAGAGGAGAAGGGGAGGGGGGGAAGTTAGAAAAGGAGAGGGAGACAAGGATAGGGGCAGGTTAGAAGGGGAGAGGAGAGAGAATGAGAAGGGGAGAGAGAGGAAGATAAAAGACGAGAGGGAAGGAAGGTAAAAGAGAAGAGCGAGAGGAAGAAAAAAGTGGATGAGTATAGAGAAAATTAACCCTCAGCACGCACTTTATTGCATTGTTAAAAATGTAGAAACAAAATTGAACAGAATGACTATCTCGATCTCGAAGGATACTTTCCCAGAACTCCAAAGTGAAAAGGACTCATTCACTCCACTCCTTCTGTTCCTGACTCTAAATACCACTGTCCAAGGACTTTATATTTAATGTTGCTTCTGGCATTATATTCATGATCTTACTGTTAGTTTACCTTACACAACTGTCAGCCATGTGATAGATAATGGTAGAAATTCTAACATGTGTTTTGTACTGCAAGAATGGGAGGGATCATGTATGGAAATCTGACTGTAGGAGAGTGAGAGTAAGAGGAAAGAGGGAGTTGGGGAGGGGAGGGAGCTAGGGAGGAGGGAAGTAGGCAGGTAGGTTGGGAGGGAGGGAGTAGGTAGAGGAGAAGGTAGAGGGAGTAGAGTAGAGGGAAGAGGAAGAGAAGAGAGAGAGAGAGAGATTGATTAAACAGGGAAGGAGACAAAGGGTGCAATATATAAACACAGAACAAACACTGTCCATAAACCTCCATCCTTCAAATAATATTTATTAAAAAAGTCAAAAAAAAAAGTAATTCACATCAATCATCAAAAATATTCATTCATTCAGTTTTACAAAATCAAATATCAAAACTTTCCCAAAACCACTCACCCTCTAACAGGTTTTTAATGCCTCACGCCCCTCGTTCCTCCCCCACCAGGCCCTCCCCGCGACTGCCGCGTGACCGAGTGGTCCGCGTGGTCGCCCTGCAGCAAGACCTGTGGCATCGGCGAGCAGACGAGGACAAGAACCATCCTGAAGCACGCGCGCCGGGGAGGGAAGGCGTGTCCTGTGCTCGAGGAGACGACCTGGTGCGGTTCGGCCGGCGCCTGTCCGAGGGATTACTTCATCTGGTCTTAAGGATCCCGCTGAGGAGGAGGGAGAGAGGGGAATCAGGG